GAGCTGGAGACTTACTGCTTGCTAAGTTCACATGTTACTTGTTCACACATATAAAGCCAGGTTTCAACATGATTGACCTTTAACTGCTTTGTCAGTAAGCTCTCCATCATGTAAGAGTTTACAGCACTCATAAGAAGCCCAACAAAAGGGGACAACACTGACGTGGTCATGTAAATTAACCTGGAGGAAATGACAAGACTCCCAGTACAGTTACCACTTCGGAATTTAAATTGCAGAAGTGCTACACATGGCTCTAGATATTAAGAGAAAGGCTCATCCTCTTACATTTGAAGGCAAAAACTCCTTTAGATTCCTAAAGAGCAAGACAAAAATTACTCCAGTGATCTATACACCATTGAAATGAGCCTTCCCAAGGCTGAAGTATAATCTTAAAACTTGGCCCTTAAGATGATGTCTGTAAGTTTTCTGGTATTCTTTGTTAATCTGATCTTTAACACTTCCTGATCTGAGAGTTAATAAAGGCAAAATTCAGTGTCATTTCTGCTTTTACAACACTTCTCGTAGGTCAATGCTGAACTGCATGGGAAAAACATAACCTAACTTGTCTGACCCTGCAAGCCACAGTTCAGTAATCTGCTTAAATGTTTTGGCACAGTATGTTAGCTTAAATTATGAGGTGGACAAGAAGGGTGTTCTCTGTAACAAGCTCTAGGATCACACCTCTGAAGTTCTCAGTCCAACAATGAGGGAACACTCAAGTGTTGAATCCTCTATGTCTAAGAGGAGTTTTGCAAAGTGTAATGCCAGAATTTTGAGTCTCTGCAGGAACTCAGGAGAACAAGGACACAAGCAAATAAAAATACACTTCCACCTGCTTGTCCGAACTTGCTTGAATTTGACTCTGCCACAGAACTTCAGCGCAGGGTTGTCTCTGTCTTCATTTGAAAACTGGAACCCCTCCTCCCCATGTTCCACATAAGTATTACAGATGGCCTGGATCACCCACCCATTGCATGTGTTACAGAAGAAATTTATCCACAAGGAAAACATACTGGCACCACAATTGGCCATTTTTTAAAAATACTTCCACAAGACACTTCTTCCTTCTACAGAACAGAACAAAACAGTGTGTCAGATGCTTTCCCACACAGAACACGTCATTACAGAGGGCAACACACTTGCAAGTAAAGAATGCTCAGCAAAATAGGATAGTTCATTAAACTAGTCTGACTTGGAAAGGGAATGAAGTCTAAGGTTTTCAGTTGATTTTCAAACTTCAATTAGCTTGGAACTGACAAAAAAACCCCACCACCCGTAACTGGCTCTCCCACATGATCTTCTTACTAAGTATCTCCACAGCTACCTTGTAAATACAGCGTTTTGAGGGGCTTTTTGATGGTATTCCGATTATTAAGTGATTATTATTAAGTGATGCCTATACACACTCAAAGCCCAAAAAGCACTAAGAAGGCAAAGAGTATTACTACCGAGTATTAACGATAAAACTTTCACACCAACCACGCTGGCTCTCCGAATGCAATCGCATTGTCCACAGTGACCCAAAGCAAGGTTTGGGAGTAACTCAGTTTATCATTTCCCTTTTCACTTACTAGGAGGAGTTCTGCTTCGAAGCACTGTGGTTCTCCAGTTCACAAGACAGGAAGAACAGGGTAGCTATGAAAAAATGAAAATGATTCCACTGCCTACTATTTCACCAATAAAAATCACTTCACACATTGTGGTTCAATTACGAAACTGCAAAAATAAAAATGTACTGAATATGCATGCTTTTTGTTTACATGACTAATGTTTTAAGGTCTAACGCATCAAACGACCTTTGTTCATGGATATTTAAGCAAAGCACACAAACCAGCCAGTTTTCAAAAGCCAGCCGAATTCAGCTACCTGTTCTAGCGTAGCGTGACCAAAAAGCCCCTCCCTATCTAAAATTACCATGGTGAAAGACTTTCAGGAGCTAGCGTGTCCTCCTCCAAACCTCCCAGTTTGACAGGCAGCACTCAGGAGGGCAACAAACTCCAAATGAAAACTTTCTTTCCTTCCTAAGGGTTACAATGACATACATGGCATCAAATCCTGATGGCCAAAGGAACATGAGTAGAAATTTACCTGCAATGTTATGCAAATAATCATTTCAACGAGCTGATAAATATGTTGCATTGTGCCTCCCATGATCTTCATTTCTATCTGCTTTAATTAACAATAAATCATTCTGGGGGCTACAGCATCTGTTATTACATAAATAAAACACTAGCAAAGGAGCTTGTCAAGACTGATTTATATGAAGTGCTGCTCTGAAGTTTATTGGATTTCCATAATAAGAAATCACACCATATCAATTTTTTTTGCATTAATCTTGTGGGTTGCATATGATAATTTCTAAACAAAACCACATCTTAGTGTTTCTCACAGATTATTTATTAGCTAAAACTGTTTTTTTAACAGATGGTGAATAGAAAAATAAAAAGGGCACCATCTTGTCAGGACAACAAATTACCTATCTAAACCATTTTAAGTTAGGAAAGTAGGCTATCAGAAATTAGTCAAAGTTCTTTAAAATATCCCTTCTGACAGAACTATTACTCATAAGAAAACACTTTTCTAGAAAAATTAAAAGTGAACAATGGGAAGTGTCTTCACTGGCTCCTAAAAATTGTGATGAACAGTACTGGCAGACAGAGCAGAACAAACCAAACACCACAGAAGCCACAGAACCTTTCATGAGCCATTCAGGTCAAACCTTGCAGACTGTATTTTCTCGGAAGCACGACAGTCCCCGCTCAGGCAGACTATTTAACGGGGACTCCACTGTGTCAATGCCGGGTTGAAACCCAGCCTAGAGAGGAACAGAGGACTGCACCACAACACCTACAAAAGAGAAACTTCGGCAAAGCTGAAGTTAATGAGACGATCACAAGAACACCACCGGGTCTCACTGCTAAACCTTACAATATACTGGGGGAGGGGGAAGTCATGACAAGAACAGTCAAAAATATTACACACAGACAAATGAGATCCTTCAGAGGATAAATTAAGAGTTTGTACAGCGTTTTTATTTCAGAAGTGTGGAACCCTCCCCCATTCAGAAAGTGAATCAGCAGTGATTTTCTAAAATAGATGTGCGCTAGAAATATGAAAAGAATCACAAGAACAGAAACAAAATGTTTTGGGACTAAATAAAGTCTCAGAAGCAAGAAGTCTACAAGCACAACCACAGGCTCCCTGACGTCCCAAGTGATTAAAGGGGTGAAAGTGGATAGTGAAGCAGTGAAGTTAAATGAATTTTCTGCATCAGTCTTTTATTATAGATGACAAGGGGAAAGAAATTCCAAAAGCTCTTTGATGATTATTGGCCTTAACAGAGATTAGACTCTCTAAGAATGATGTGAGGGAACAACTTAGAAAACTCTCGAGTGGTAAACCCTCAGAATCAGATGGCATCCATCCCCAGAGAAAGGAATGAAATAAAACGTAAAACAGGTAAGAAACTTGATGCACAATACAGATTTAACTGCTATTTTCATCAAACAGTGTAAAAATCTGTAACACACTGGCTATCTCTAGGAAAGGAACCAAAGGGCTAGGATTTATACATTCCCCTCGGTTCTGAAGTGCACTCTGAAGCACTGAGAAATAACACCGGCCTTTGCAGATGTAAAAGTGAACAAGCAGGAAACATTTCATTCGGGGACAGAATTTGATCTTGGATTTCAGCTGATTACAGGTGACTGTATAGACTATATTTGAACAACTTTGCAGAATAAGAATGAAAGTTCTGTTGCTGCTTATTAAAGAAGTATTACAGGGGCACATTTTAGATCTTAAACCTGTTTTACTCCTGTCTATTGCAGGAAACGAGACAAAAATCAATGCACTCTGTGAAACACGTAATCTAATACAAGCAGAAATAAAACAAAAAACCAATGCAAGTGGTTTTGATAAGCTAAGGTTACAGAATTAACACTTTCCTGTTAAGAACACAGGCATTTTAACTTTAATGTAGACATCAAGTTATACACACCTCACCACGGACTTGACCAGTTACAAACCAGTTCTACAACCTGTACAGATTGAGCTTCTTTTTAACATTCTGAAGTATTTAAAAGTTTCACATAATGAGATGCTTCACTGACAGTAAAGAATCAGTTCAGCACATTTAATGTGATTAATTTGATAGTCAGTTCCACTCACTTTAATAAAATAACCAAACAACATGCTTGTGATACTTCCTCTAAACAAACAAGTATAGATTTCCCTATGTTACCAAATACATGGAATGACAGACAAGTTTAGTCAGCTTGACCTTAAAAAAAAATTTGCATGTATTTATGATTAAAACATTTCATGATTTACTGATGTTAATGCCCCCCACCCTCCCCCAAACAGTTAATTGTTGCAGCTGCGCTGAAACTGTGTGAGCATCTCAACACATGCTCACATCTTTAAAACTACTCAGCAACGCTTTATTTATGCACATTATGTTTATGCAAAAGATAACTGGACATACAGACATCCAAATATAAATTATAATGAATTCTGGATCATGAACGGGACAAATTGCAGACAGTCTTTACCCATACATGACACTATACATCTGACAGCATTAGGATTTTTCCTTCTCAGAAATAACTATTGTTTTCCTACAGCTAGAAGCTAGCTGGACTGAATGAAAGGACCAACAGCCAGGTCAGGGGTTAGCTGAATAAGTAACAACTCCAGCTGGCGTACGTGACCCGAGGAGCTTCCCATACAGAACATTTGCTAGCTAGCATCTTAAAGGCACCACCCAAAAGCTCATCACTGAAGTTCTCCAGGTTAGATTTTTGAAAACTAGTCGGCAAATTCTAACTTCTTTTCAAATAACTTTGAAAAGAAGTTATGATACCGTAGGCTACTATCATACTCATATTGTGATCCCTAAATCTGTTTTACCTGCTAAGTATTTCATGCACTATATGCTTTAAGTAGTCCAGAAACAAATGGAAAAAATGTTCTTCCATACCGTAGTTCTATACACTTACTGTATTGAGTGCGTTAAGTGTAGTGTCATCACGGGAGGCTGCAACACAACCATCTTCAGTGGATCCTCCATCACACATGCCTGCAAAAGCTGCCATGCTCCTTGAGAGTTTGAGGAGAGAAAAGTTGAAATTCTTCAGCTACTGTTTGTTGCACACATCATGCAATACATAAACAGTATATTTAGGCCTTAAATCACAAATTTCAGGGCCTTGCAATATTGTGGAAACAAGTAAAATGAGGTGCCGCAAGCACTGCTATTTGTTATGCAAATCTGAGTCACCTCAGCATATGGAATAATTAATTCAAAATTAAAATCCAATCTCAGTGTATTTCATCAACTAAATACCTGCGCTGCAGCAGTACCAAAGCCCGACCTGGATTTTGGAATGTATAACCTCCAGACGCAAGGACAGCGTCTCACCAGAGACAGCAAACCTGTTGTTGCAGTCTCGGTCTCATTATGTTAGAAACTTCAGTTGCAGATTCCCCACATCTCTGAATTCTGCCAAAGTACAAGTAATTTACTCATCCTCTGAATTACTATGAGGCCCACAAGCGCACCTGATTAACCTACCAGGCATACCAGAGATCTGTATGAAACTGAAAGGCAAACCAGAGCTCGTTCAAAGAAACATTTAGCCTCTGAAGGAATCTGGTGCTATCACGGCTGTTCCACTCAGAGCAGTTACTTCCCTCGCTGCGTGGTACACATCCAACACTTTAAATCCAAAAGCCACAGGCAACGGAAAGATTCTGTGTTGGCCCAACATCAAATCAGAGCATTCTTCTCTCAAACTAAACATTTCAGCTTGTCTGGCCGACATCCATGCTACACCAAAACAGAACAGCAAGGAGAGACAGCAGCCAACTGCACCTACATGGCAGCCCGCACGTCCACACAGCATTCTAAAGACACAGGTAATATCTTGGCCGAAATTACCTTGCTGCCCGAAGGTACATAAGTAAGTCACAGTCGTTGACTCCTGGCATCCACACAAGCTCTTCATGCTGTGTCACTGTGTCACCATCTGGGGAAGGAAATGGCTGCAGATCGGGAAGCTTAGCCTAGGAAAAAAATTCATACAGACATTACAGTTGTTAACAACATTCGGACGACATGCAAGTGTTATTAGTAACAAAGTTTGTAAATTCTCTGGAATATTCCAATCTCATAGATGGAAGACATTCAGAGAACAGGTGGTGAAGCTATTCGATCCAAGTTTCAGAAGCTTATGAGGAAACTGGGTCATCAACCTCAATCTACTCACTTTCTCCAGCATTCCTCCTTTTAGCAGGGCAGTTAGTTTCCTGAAAATCACGCAGGGTTAATGCCACCTCAGCCCACCACCACCGTGTGCAGAGCAAGTGCAAGCACGTCTGTGGAAATACCACAGCTTGAAGTAAACCATTTCGTGCTGGATACGTAGGCCTCCGTCGTAGAGAAGTCAAACATCGTCTGACAATTTACCCTCAAAGAGACAGTTTTCATTTGGCAAAAAGATTCTGTTACAACTCCTGCTCGCCAGGGTAAAACATACATAACGTCCTAATCTGAAAGATGGCAAGGATGGGGCTACCATGTTTACCACTTGAAATCAGGAAAAAACCCTACACATTTGACACTAAGTTTAAAATTCAGTCCTCAGTCAAGCATGAAAACTCTAAAAAGAAACAAAGAAATTTCCTGCAAGTGAGATAGCTGAGCGAAATGAACTTGGCTACTAAATAACTATTACACTGTATCTAGAGACCCAATTAGCACCTTTAGTCATCAACTGCTATGGGATGAGATAGCTGAGAGCCTCTTCAGAAACAGCTTTTAAGCCCTATAATTACCTCCTATACTTACAACGCTAAACATACTTGAGAGGCAACATTTATACATAACCAGTAATTACGAGTCACAGGTTCAGATGTCTTTCATGTTCTGCTCTTTAATCTGTACTTTATTTTACGTCTTCCCTGGGAAAATGGCTATCTCATTGAACCCCTCTTCTGCAAAAAGGACAAGCGAGATGAGAGTTCTATGAGAGCTCTGCATTCTAGCAAGCAGGGTTCCTTCACAAGTTAATGTTCATCCTTACGTACCCTAGGAACACGCTTAATTACTAGAGTCACTCCTAAGAGCAACTTCCTCTTGAATGTCTCCGGTCATTAATTTGTTAGCCAGAGGCTTTCACAGGAGAAGATTTGGTAGAGACCCACTCTCCTCCTACACATGTGAATTTTGAGAACAATCGTAACTCTACAAAACATTTATCTTCACTTGAGTCCCTACTTGCTATCACGATACGAGCAGCAGTGAGGTATCTGTGCGCTAAGTATCAAAAAACCCCAACAGTCCTCTAGCATCTGTGACACAATTTAAGGAAAATGAAGGCAACAGATACTCAGACACCACTACTGGGATCTCGGGGTTGTTTCTGGATTCTGCTATGTATACCTTACTCTCAGTAAGGTGGGCAGAGGAAAGTACCCATTCCCTGAGTGAACAGAGCCCAGTGTGCAGAGACTATTTTTACCCTTTCCACAGAATGAATCAGACTACAGAACCAAAAGCGGCAACTATCCTCTTCCGCCTGACTTCCTACCGCGGCCTACAATCAACCATCCACAGATCTTCAGATCGTACCTTACACTAATTACCAGGATGTGGATATATCCTCTAAGTGATGACATTTGTCAGAAACACAGATGCTCAGTAAATGAGCGAAAGAACAAGGGAAGTTTAAAATCCTAAGCAAGCAAAAATTAACAGTATTCTAAATCAGTGGACCATCTTCCTATTTTTTTTCCCTGTCCCTAAATGCATCTGGTAATTATACCTTACTGCACAGGTGAGTAACACCTGTCAAAATACTGGATGACAATTTCAGATGAAAGCAGTTTTGAAGGTATCATTTACAGTACTCTTATTATGACTAGTGAAGAGAATAGGACTTTTTTCTTCTAAAGGCAAAACATCAAGAATAGTTACATAGGTTCCATCAATGTTTACTTTCACTAGTTATTAAACATGATTTTAAAAGGAGTCTGAATGAATATTCATCGCTCGGATGCAAAAATCCAGCACTTGGACAGTGCAAAGTCAAATCCACTGGTAAAGGAGAGCACTCAGTTCCGAGTGACAGATCTGGCCTTATAAAACCAGAGCTGTACGTCAACGCTCTTTAAGCAAAGATTATTTTCAGTGCTTGTGAAGGATTTCCCTGAAATTAGAACTAACATCCCGGGAACAACCCAACATCTAGACTCCTAACCTTATTCTGCTTCCCGGTGAACACACTCAGCACGCTTTCTCAATTTCTATTTTAACAATCCAAATGGCTTAAGGCACTGGTTTTCAGAACTTGCAGTGCTTCTTAGTTCTTCTCACAACCTAGCAAACAATACAATTGAGGTCTCCCTACCTTTATGATCAAAACTTCTCCTCCCTACATCATCAGAAACTTTAAAGAAAGGCTGCATAAAGGACTTCCTGGGAAACACAAATGAGACACTGCAACTGTAACCTGGCTTCTGCACACTAAGGACAAAAGGGTCATTTCAATAATTATCCAGAACTACCACGCCTCCTACTTAAAAAGAATTTAAACTGTTTTGCATCAAAATTATGCAGGTAAAAAGGGTGAGGAGCAGCTAAGGTCCTGCATGGCAGGGGGAGAGGGTGCCGGTGAGGCTGGCGCATGGCAGCAGAGGAAGAGGGTATTTAGAGAGAGGTCTGTCCCCAACAGCTGCCAAAACTGCTCCCGCTAGAAATACTGATTTCATCTTTAAGACGACTGTTGAATTACTGAACACCCAATAGCCCCCTGACTTTTCTGCTGAATTACCACAGTCGCTCAAGCTCATTGAACATATGAAAATAAGAGAACACGTGCAGGCTTCAAGTGTAAACACAAGGCAAGGAGGAAACGCAGAGCCACAGACACGACACCAGCCAGAGCACGCTCGGAGACAGACATGAAGGCAGAGTGAGTTTACAGCGAGTTCTGCATTAATGACAGCTATGTTAACAGACATGCTTAAAAGCACTGTATCCTGTGTTAAAAGATGAATACATACATAAATATATGTGTATATCTCAACACAGTTGCTGTACAGGAAAGAAACTTTTCTCAGGTTTGAAGTTCTCCCAGCCTTCTAATTTTATAATGTTCTTGGAAAAGTGCTGTCTATTTTTTAAATCACTTCTAACAGAACTCCACTTTGTTTAAATACACAGATTCACGAAAAGGACTCTACATGTTATCGGCAACACACTATCAACTTGACAATTTTACTATGCCAATTAAAATGAAAACATTTACTTTGAATATAACTGGAAAACATCACCAAATGAAATGTTTATAGTTTATTAAAAGCATTGCTTGCTGAAAGCCAGCTGAGAACACATTCATTTTTAACTTCAGTATGCGCCCAATAATAGCTGGGATTTTTCCTTCATTTCCAGTAGTTACTCAGATTCATTCAATCTTCTTCTAGAATTAACCCAGTAGCACTTCTGCTAATAAAAATCATTAACATTTCAACATTTGACACAGAAAAATCTCATTAACTCCTGAGGAATCTAAAAATCACTCCTATGTGAATGCATACAATTTTAAGTAAGTGTCCTCAGAACAGATCAAGTGGCAAGAGCGTGTCCTCCGGATACTAAAATACAAACAAAATCCCTTACCTGATGGCTGGGTCCAACTCTGATTTCACCCTGGGTACTGTTTAGCCTCCTAACATTAAAAGAAAAAAAAAAAAACAGCAATGAGAAAGAATTATAATTAATGAAATTTGGGACCACAGTCTGTATTTTTTGTCCCTGCATTTCCAATGCAAATGGAAGAGAAGCAAAACTAATACATCATTGAGAAAACAAGCAAGGACATACTGAGGCGTATTAGAGGCCTCGCTGCGAACGGCGAACACCGACGCAGCAAGCCTGGGACTTGCAGCCGAGCAGAGGAGCTGAGGCAGAGGATCGGGGCGCTCCGTCCCCGCGATCCCTCAAAGCCTCTGCGCTTCTCTACAGCCCTGAGCTGCTCTGTGCTTTCGCCAGCCAACTCCAACGCCTGCTACGTGGAGCATCACCGTCCAACAAGCATCTTTTACCAGTGCTGTGTTCCTTCAACCACTTCGTTCAACAGCAAAGCTAAAGTAATGCAGACAACATGCTAAGCACTACGCTACAGACTAATACACAGGAAATACCACGTTCCTCACGAACATCTTGGTGGTCATTTTAATTTTGAAAGAGAAAATATCTTAAATAAAGATATTTGGGGTATTAACCTTTGAACATCAGAGCCTTGCGTGACCAGAATTCACAAAACTAATTCTTCTTTTTCCAGGCCGAGTTCATGGAAAACCATTCAAGCTATTTTGGATTTCACATGCAAAATTATCTAGCTCTTGCTTTAAGAGGTTAAAATTATTATTGTTGCTTTTAATTCATTTGCTAAAATCACGAGTTAGCACACAGACACACAGAAAATCTAAAAAGCAGTTAAAACATGCCTTTTAACACTTGTAGAGGTGATTTTAACTCAATTCATCCAAAAAGGGCTTCCCTTCTACACAATACACTTGGCCTTCATATTTTTCCACTACTTTGAAAAGACATTTATATAAAAAGCTCGACGTTCCAAACGAACTGTCCTCCGCATAGTGCTAATTACGCTCGGAAGGGCTCTGTGCTGCTGACACCACTGCCTGGAGTTACCGAAACATCGCAGTTACAGTAGGAGAAAAACTGTTTTCTCATGTTGCAGCAGAACTGCCCTGGTGACAACAGAAGTTAAAGGTGTGCCAGTATAAACCAGAATAACACAACTGCCATGGCAGAATTTATTTTTCTTCCTAAATTTTGAACAGACTAACAGAGTACATAAAACTTTACCATGGAAGAGTACCCTTTGACCCTTTTTCTTCACTAAATATATTACAATATAAGCAACAAGAAGGTGCACGAAGAAAACTATTTACTACTTGAAGTACTAATTTCTGAGGGACTATAGTTGAATCCAGGCGACCTCTCTGCTGTAATCTCACATATCCAGCTCTTGCCAGAGCCAGGTCACTACAGTCTATACAGATACCTGGGCCCAAACATCGCTACGGGTGCAGCTACAGTCTGAAAACCTCAATGACTCTCCAAGACTACTGTAAAATAGCATTACATAACACAACCAAATGCAAGGAAACTCAAAATCCTTAAGATCAACATTCTTCTCTTCCTAAAAATTCTTATTTAAACATACATCTTTTATTTATATTCTGCATATTACATTAACAGGACAACAAAATTCAGAGTTAAGACAAAACTTTTCAACTTAACACTTCGATAACTGCAAAGCACGTAAGAGAGTCTAACACGCTGGCAAGGAACAGCACACACACGAACCTAGCAGATCACCACCTTTAATCTGGAAACAGCAAACTTGAATTCATCTTGCAGTTTGCTGTTACAGGAGTAATGACACCATTCGACAAGGAAGCTGCCACCCTGCAGGATTTCTTCTTCGCCCTGCCATGTTCACAGTGATCATAAGCAGTGGCTGAGGAACAGTTTCCTTCAAACTTTAAAAATTAAAATCACGATCGTAAACTGCTAGCCCTGAGCCAAACTAACAACGGAGAGCCCAAGCCATTAAACACCATTTGAGGCCACAAAGGTTACTGAAGGGTTTTTCCGACACGATCCTTTGCGTACCTTCGTGACCATTTTACCTCAGAATTTCACAGTACGTTGCCTATGTGCATGAAGTTAAACTTCACCCCACTGAGCGTTCCGCAACGTTACTCGTTGGTGCACAAGTGAGTAAACCACAGCCGCGGATCTGACCAGACCTCGTCCAGGCCAACCCAAGAGGAGAGCCTGTCAGACAGGGATAAACACAGGTCTTGCAATAATCCTAGGTCGTGATGTCTAAGCAATGCTACCTGCCTGGTAAGCAGATCTGCTCTAAAATACGTGCCAGAAGTCTCCTGGAAAAAATGAGAACGTCAGAAATGGTTTTCTTCAATGCACATTTTTGTCAGACATGATCTGACACTGTCCTCTTGTTCTCAGGTTATGCAAAGAAATGACTGAACCAGAAAATCAATTTTATATTTACAACAAAGTTATAAATTAACTACCAGGATACATTTTTTCAGCTACAAGGTGTCAGAACGTTTCCCTGCGAGGAATGAAGGAGAAACCGGCAACAGAAAACGCTGATGCTCTTCCTTTACTCCCAGAATTCATTCTCAAGCCAGGCACATCTCTACCAGTCAGTGCAAGTCAAACTCAAAACATGTCTATGCGGCTTCTGCCAGCTACAATCCTTCACACCAGCCAAAGGCTGCACAAGTAGGTTTTGTACTTCAACAGAACATTCAGCTATTTTCTGTTTAGATAGGAAAATACCAGTAGGCCAAACAGCCCCCAACTCCCAGTTTCTTCAGTTGCACCGCACTGACTACGATAAATACAACATAGAAGAGTCAAGACTGATCGTGGGATGCTGGAGCATCCTGTAAGTAATTGCCAAGATAAAAACGAAAGTTCTGGATGGGCCTTCGGCTCCTAACTATTCACGTGGTGTTCGCTGGGGAAACTCAGTGGGGCTACCCCAAACATGAGTCCTCACATGAAAATGAAACGTCCAGAGAAATAACTCCGTGTGCCTTTTCATCACTCGTTTGCCATTTCTGGATTATATTCAGACCCTAAAGGTACTCCCTCCCCCTGCCCCAAAAGGTGAGGGCTGCACTGAACTAAGCTGCTGTGCAGGAAGCTCTTTCGGACTGCACTACAGCACATTTCTGTGGGTTTTTTCTTAAAAAAGGGCACGAAGCTGATCACTCCGCAAGGGCACACAATCTGTTAAATAATTTTGACTGTTTCCACATCCCCAAGAATGGGTTTGCAAATGGAAGGAAAATTTTTGCTATGGAAACTAAAATGCACTGTAGATTTTAAAGCTAAATTATATTGGCGGAGAGCAATTACAATAATAATGGAACAGCACTCTGTGTTTATTCTATGGGCAAGAAAAGAGAGGACCCAACACCGTATATGAAATCTGACACAAAAGAAACTGATGTAACAAAGCAGTATCCATAGCAACAACAACTTAATATTTCAGTCCTCTTCAGCTGCAGTGGATTAAATATAATGACAAGATGTTCCCTTTGAAAAGTAACCTGTTGCCATGACAACGTTGTATTCTGCAAAGTAAACAGGGGCTGGTCAGGAAGGAGATGGAAGCCTGCGACTGAATATCAAAGAGGCAAGAAGCTCCTGTAGCAGAGCAGGGCAAAACCAGCACGCTCTAATCCGAGAGAGGCTTGCTCCAACCAGTGCGGAGAGAAGAGAGAGGATGTTCAGTTCAATACAGCTTTGTCCTCTCAATTCCAACGCCACGGGGGAGGTTGGAGGTTCAAGGCCAAAAGCAGCACCACCGAGAGGAAACAGTCCAGAGGTGAGGATGAGAAAGGAACAGGAGACAGCACAGGGTGGTGCAGAGCTTTAATTTATCACCTTTAGAAAGAAGGAAAGAAAGGAAGGAAGGAAGGCTGGCAACAGCAGCTCCTGCACTACTTCCAATACAAAAACCAGTTTAACCCTCTCTGTTTATCCTCTGCCTCCTCGTCCATACTGCACACCAGACTCGCACCACGTACGCAAAGGCTGGCACAACTGGTCGTCTTTGTCCACGAGAATAACGCAGCATTTCAATGCCATCGAGGACCGAAACACGGTCACAAAAGAACGACCACAAGACGGAGGCCGAGCTGCCATGAAGTCCACCAGAGCAGCCCTGAGGATAACTCGGGTTCAGGACTTGCACCACCAACTGCTCTTACGGCACTGCCAGCGCCATACAGGAGTCAAGGCTGGAAACTCGCAGCCAAGCTCCCCAGAGTGCTCCCCAAGGCACAAGGCATTTGCAGATTTCTGCGCAGCATGTCTCCGCACTGACCTACCTCTGTCCTATCCTTGACATGAATCCAAGTCAGCTCCTCACCCAGCACATTGACGATCTTTGCTAGGAAGCCAGGCTTCTGCTAGCAGCTGTATACATAAGGTTGATCTTCAAGGTCTGGGATCGTGTGTACAAGACGGAATCTTAGAAATTGTGATACTCCTACTTTCATGTTTTCTTTTTTACAACCAAAGTTCAGCAAGAAACCTGCTATGCAGTAACTGCACATTTTGATACTGACTTACACACCTCAGACGGGCGTGAGGGAGGTGGCACTACTGCAGTATCACCTTGAGCCAACTGCGTTCTCCACCTGTTTGCTTCATCCAGCAACAGACATGGTTTAATTCCGCTCTGCTGTGGTCACCAGACACTCAGTGCTCTGCACCACGGACTGCACTTCCATCGGCTCTCTGAAACACTGCCACTAGCCAGCAATGACTCAGAAAACACAAAGATAACTTAATGCTATCATTAAGTTGAAAAAACACAACCCACCAAAACACCACAACCCAAATGTCCCATGTAGGACACCGTTCTGTGCTACCCATTTACCACTCTTGGCATAATCATTCCTGACCCTGTATACTGAGGTCATCCATAACTGAACTAGAGGGATGCTTCAACAGAAAAAGGTTTTTAAACCCATCACATCACTCAGCCGCACACTACCTCTCAAACAGTCTTTTTGATTCTCTTTGGAGCTCTCCAAAAACGGATTTCCAAACCAGCTTGCTAAAAACCACGGCCTACTGCAACATATG